CCTTGTAAAACTACAGCTCCATGATTCAATGCTATTGGCTCAATGCTATGGGATCCTGGGAGTTATAGTTTGGTGAGGTACCCAGGGCTAAAAACCTTGTAAAACTACAGCTCCATGATTCAATGCTATTGGCTCAATGCTATAGGATCCTGGAAGTTGTAGTTTGTTGAGGTACCCAGGGCTAAAAACCTTGTAAAACTACAGTCCATGATTCAATGCTATTGGCTCAATGCTATAGGATCCTGGGAGTTGTAGTTTAGTGAGGTACCCAGGGCTAAAAACCTTGTAAAACTACAGCTCCATGATTCAATGCTATTTGCTCAATGCTATAGGACCCTGGGAGTTATAGTTTGGTGAGGCACCCAAGGCTAAAACCCTTGTAAAACTACAGCTCCATGATTCAATGCTATTTGCTCAATGCTATAGGATCCTGGGAGTTATAGTTTGGTGAGGTACCCAGGGCTAAAAACCTTGTAAAACTACAGCTCCATGATTCAATGCTATTTGCTCAATGCTATAGGACCCTGGGAGTTATAGTTTGGTGAGGCACCCAAGGCTAAAACCCTTGTAAAACTACAGCTCCATGATTCAATGCTATTGGCTCAATGCTATAGGATCCTGGGAGTTGTAGTTTGGTGAGGTACCCAGGGCTAAAAACCTTGTAAAACTACAGCTCCATGATTCAATGCTATTGGCTCAATGCTATGGGATGCTGGGAGTTGTAGTTTGGTGAGATTCCCAGAGTTAAAAATATTGTAAAACTACAGCTCCATGATTCAATGCTATTGGCTCAATGCTATGGGATACTGGGAGTTGTAGTTTGGTGAGGCACCCAGGGCTAAAAACCTTGTAAAACTACAGCTCCATGATTCCAAAGCCATAATCAAAGTAGTTCAAGAAGTGTCAAACTGCATTCATCCTACAGTGTAGACACACCCTGAGGTTGGGGACAGATGCACTTGAATTTGCATCTGTGCCCATGTTAGTCTATGGAAATCTTATGCAAATCTTACATTTTCTGTCTTTCTTTCTCCTATTTCCTCTTGTTTAGCCATTGAACCTAATGGATCCAGTTTGGCCCCTTTTTTGCATTTGCTTTCCCTTTGAGCTTCCTGTTTTTAGTCTCCAAATCTGCTACTCCCCATCTGACAGATGGTGCGTCTCCACTAGGGAATGAATGCAGTTTGGCTGCCATAGCTCAGGGCTTTGGGATCTGGGATTTGCAGTTTTAAAAGGCCTTTCTCCTTCTCTTCCCAAGAGCACAAACTACAGGCTCCAAGATTCCATAGTATTGAACCACTGCAGTTAAAGTAGTGTCAAACTGCATTGATTCTACAGTGGGTGCACCTCTTTTCAATTCCCCACACATAAGAATTCCTATATGCACTTTGGGTGTGTTGGGTCGGATGGGAATTGTAGTTCGCTCATGCCTGAAACGCCTACCATAGGCATGCTGATATTAAGGCACGGATTCCTGCTGATGGGAACTGCAGTTCACCAAGACCCATAGCGCTATGTTCTTTCTCAGCCCTATTGTTGATGTTGTTGATATTGTTTACAATTTGTGATTGTTTTTATATTTTATCTGATGTTTTTAATTGATTGTGTTCTATTTGTAATTTTTGGGCTTGTCCCTTGTAAGCCGCCCCGGGTCCCCTTGGGGAGATGATTGGTGGGGTATAAAATTAATTAATTAATTAATTATTAAATTTAATAATAATAATAATTATTATAATTATAATTATTATTATTATTATTATTATTGTGTTCACTGTGAGCCCCAGAGGGATCCCATTGAATCAGTGAGATTTTAACAATATGTGAATGTGCTCCCAAATGAGTCTGCTTTCCAGTTGTGGTTGGACTACAACTCCCATCACTCCTGGGGGATGCTGGGAGCCACATTTCAGACATCTCTGAGGATGAAAGGGATATCCCATATGACTCCCATGTCTTCCAGTGGCCCAAAAGATGGGGGGGGGTGCTGGCAGTTGCAGTCCAGGCTCCTTTTAGGAAGGAAAAAAGGGAAATAATTATATTAATGGTAATAATAATAATATGGATAATAATAATAATAATAATACCGTACAGGGCTCCAGGCTCTTTCAGCAGATCCAAAAGGCTGGTAGATGCTTCCCACTCCCATCTCTTGCAATACTGGCATCTCTTAGGGGTCGGAAAGAAGAAATAATAATAATAATAATAATAATAATAATAATAATAATAATGCACAGGACTCCCATCTCGTTCAGTGAGGGGATGCTGGGAGTTGCAGTCAGGCACCTCTTAGGGTCAGGAAAAGGGATATAATGATGGTGCTGATGATACTGCACAGGACTCTCACTCCTATCAGTTTCAGTGGGGGATGCTGGGAGTTGTAGTCCAGGCACCTTTTAGAGGCAGAAAAAGGGAGATGACGATGATGGTGGTGGTACCGCAAAGGACTCCTATTCCCATAAATTTCAGTTGAGGAATACTGGGAGTTGCAGCCCAGGCAGGAACAGGACTATAGTAATGATAATAATTGGTGGTGATGATGGTGATGATGTAGTCCAGGGGATATAATGATGATACCACACAGAACTCCCACACCCATATTTCTTATAGGGAGGATGCTAGGAATTGCCATCTAGACACCTATTAGGGGTGGGAAAGGGAATATTATAATAATTGGTGGTGTTGATTATGATGATGCAGTCCAGGGGAGATGATGATGGTGATGATGATGATGATGATGATGATGATACCACACTGAACTCCCATTCCCATCTCTTAACAGTGGAAAATGTTGGGAGTTGCAGTTCAGGCACCCTTTAGGGGCAGAAAAGGGGATATTATAATGATAATAGTGATGATGCAATACAGGGAATGTGATGATGATGATGATGATGATGATGATGAAGAAAGGGCACAGAACCCCCACTCCCATCTTTCTTATTGGGGGGATGCTGGGAGTTGCAGTCTAGGCACCTGTTAGGGGTGGGAAAGGGATAGATAATAATAATAATAATAATAATAATAATAATAATAATAATAATGGATTGTGTTGATGATGATGATGCAGTCCAGGGGAGATGATGATGATGATGATGAAAGGGCACAGAACTCCCACTCCCATCTCTCTTATTGGGGGGGATGCTCGGAGTTGCAGTCTAGGCACCTGTTAGGGGTGGGAAAGGGATAATAATAATAATAATAATAATAATAATAATAATAATGATTGTGTTGATGATGATGATGCAGTCCAGGGGAGATGATGATGATGATGATGATGATGATGATGATGATGATGAAAGGGCACAGAACTCCCACTCCCATCTCTCTTATTTGGGGGGGGGGGTGCTGGGAGTTGCAGTCTAGGCACCTGTTAGGGGTGGGAAAGGGAATATAATAATAATAATAATAATAATAATAATAATTGATTGTGTTGATGATGATGATGTAGTCCAGGGGATATGATGATGATGATGATGATGATGATGATGATGATGAAAGGGCACAGAACTCCCACTCCCATCTCTCTTATTAAGGGGGAATGCTGGGAGTTGCAGTCTAGGCACCTGTTAGGGGTGGGAAAGGGAAAATAATAATAATAATAATAATAATAATAATAATAATAATAATAATAGATGATGATGATGATGAAAGGGCACAGAACTCCCACTCCCATCTCTCTTATTTGGGGGGGGGGGTGCTGGGAGTTGCAGTCTAGGCACCTGTTAGGGGTGGGAAAGGGAATATAATAATAATAATAATAATAATAATAATAGATTGTGATGACGATGATGATGCAGTCCAGGGGATATGATGATGATAATGATGATGAAAGGGCACAGAACTCCCACTCCCATCTCTCTTATTAAGGGGGAATGCTGGGAGTTGCAGTCTAGGCACCTGTTAGGGGTGGGAAAGGGAATATAATAATAATAATAATAGATGATGATGATGATGATGATGATGATAATGATGATGATGAAAGGGTACAGAACTCCCACTCCCATCTCTCTTATTTGGGGGGGGATGCTGGGAGTTGCAGTCTAGGCACCTATTAGGGGTGGGAAAGGGAATATAATAATAATAATAATAATAATAATAATAATAATAGATGATAATGATGATAATGATGATGATGAAAGGGCACAGAACTCCCACTCCCATCTCTCTTATTGGGGGGATGCTGGGAGTTGCACTCTTGGCACCTATTAGGGGTAGGAAAGGGAATATAATAATAATAATAATAATAATAATAATAATTGATGATGATGATGATGCAGTCCAGGGGATATGATGATGATGATGATGATGATGATGATGATGATGAAAGGGCACAGAACTCCCACTCCCATCTCTCTTATTGGGGGGGATGCTGGGAGTTGCAGTCTAGGCACCTGTTAGGGGTGGGAAAGGGAATATAATAATAATAATAATAATAATAATAATAGATAATATGATGATGATGATGATGATGATGATGAAAGGGCACAGAACTCCCACTCCCATCTCTCTTATTGGGGGGAGGATGCTAGGAGTTGCAGTCTAGGCACCTGTTAGGGGTGGGAAAGGGAATATAATAATAGTAATAATAATAATAGATTGTGATGACGATGATGATGCAGTCCAAGGGATATAATGATGAAGATGAGGATGAGGATACTGCACTGAACTCCCATTCCTATCTCTTAACAGTGGAAGATGCTGGGAGTTGCAGTCCAGGCACCCCTTAGGGGCAGGAAAGGGGATATATTGTAATGGTGGTGATGATGCAGGACTCCCACTCCCATCTCTTTCAGTTGGGGGGGGGGATGCTGGGAGTTGCAGTCCAGGGGCGGAGAGGGCTGCCCCACGGAGGAGGATGCCCGGCTCTTGCAATTCTCATCTCTTCCCGGCGGTACTGCAAATCCCATCCTCCGCAATTGCAGCAGCAGCGAAAGAAGGAAGGAAGGAGGGGAGGGGAGGGGGAAGCGGGAGGCGGGGAGGCGGAGTGGGAGGGGAGGCGGGCCCCGCCCGCGTGGGCTGTGCGCGCTGCGTGTCGGCGGCCAGTGCGTGAGGGCGAGTGTGTGGATGTGAGCGTGGAGAAAGAGGGGCTGCTGCCTCTCCCTCCGGAGGCACCGGGAAGCCCACCCTCGCGCCCCACGGAAAGGAGCCCACGGAAGGAGAGGAAGGGGCTCTCGGGTGGGGACCCCAAGATGAGCGGAGGGCACGTCGTCTGCACCGGGTGGCTCATCAAGTCCCCCCCGGAGAAGAAGCTCAAGAGATACGTGAGTGCGCGCCGACACGCGTCTGGGACTCCCACCCCGAACAGAAAGGGCTCCGACAACACAGCCCTCCTGGGCTCAAGGAGGACAGGAGAGGAGCAGATAGATAGATAAACAGAGAGATAGGTGTATCGAATAGATCTACACCCATCTATCTATCTATCTATCTATCTATCTAATACATCTATCTATCTATCTAATACATCTATCTATCTACTTGTCTAATCTATCTATCTAATAGCTATATTAGATCTATCTATCTATCTCTCCAATACATGTATCTATCTAATCTATCTCCATCTATCAGATATCTATCTATCTATCTCTCCAATACATGTATCCATCTATCAATTTAATACTTCTATCTATCTATCTATCTATCTCTTCAATGCATGCATCTATCTATCTATTTATCTACCTAATAGATATATTAGATCTATCTCTCCAATACACCTATCTAATAGATATATTAGATCTATCTATCTGCCTAATGTATCTATCTATCTATCTATCAATCAATTTAATCTATCTATCTATGTAATCTATTAATTTAATACATCTATCTATCTATGTAATCTATTAATTTAATACATCTATCTATCTATGTAATCTATCAATTTAATACATCTATCTATCTCTCCAACACATCTATCTATCTATTTAGCTAGCTAATAGCTATATTAGATCTATCTATCTCTCCAATACACCTATCTAATAGACATATTAGATCTATCTATCTATCTCTCCAATACACCTTAATACATCTATCAATCAATTTAATCTATCTATCTATCTATCTATCTAATCTATCTATCAATTTAATACATCTATCTATCTCTCCAATACATCTATCTATCTAGCTAGCTAGCTAGATATATCTATCTAATAGACATATTAGATCTATCTATCTATCTATCTATCTAATATCTATCTATCTAATACATCTATCTGCTTGTCTAATCTATCTATCTATCTATCAATCAATCATCTATCTGTCTAATAGATATATTAGATTTATCTATCTATCTCTCCAATACATGTATCTATCTTATCTATCTATCTATCTATCTATCTATCTATCTATCTATCTAATAGATATAGTAGATCTATCTATCTCTCCAATATCTATCTATCAATTTAATACATTTTTCTATCTGTCTAATCTATCTATAATTTAATACATCTATCAATCAATCTATCTATCTCTTCAATACATGTATCTATCTATCTATCTATCTATCTATCTAATAGATATATTAGATCTATGTCTCCAATACATCTATCTAATAGATATATTAGATCTATCTATCTGCCTAATGTATCTATCTATCTATCTATTTAATACATCTATCTATCTATCTATCTAAGCCATCTATCAATTTAATATATCTATCTATCTCTCCAAAACATCTATCTATCTAATAGATATATTAGATCGATCTATCTATCTCTCCAGTACATCTATCTAATAGACATATTATATCTATCTATCTATCTATCTATCTATCTACCTATCTACCTATCTACCTAATACATTATCTATCTATTTAATACATCTGTTTATCTAATCTATCTATCAATTTAATACATCTGTCTATCAATCTATCTATCTATCTATCTCTCCAATACATCTATCTATCTATCTATCTAATATATCTATCTATCTAAGAGATATATTAGATACATCTATCTATCTATCTATCTATCTACTTCTTTCCTTTCCTCCTTGAGCCCAGGAGGGTTGTATTGTCAGAGCCCTTTTGAACTGTATTAGTATTAAGATCCTTATCATAATTATTCTTATCTACAATTTCATTCCTATCCAATGACAGTATTATCATCGCATCATGTTATCATCATCGGCGTATTGATTATGAACATCGCAGCATTTATTGCTAGTAGCATCACAGTATTAGTGTGATCAATACTATATTAGCATTGACAGCATTACCATCCTCTGCTGCTGCAGAAGCATAGTATTTATTATTGACATTGCAACATTATTATTATTAGCATCAGGGAATTAGTATTACTATTATTAGCAGTATTGTTCTCAGTACTCACAGTAAGTCATATTATTCATAACATTGATACTCAACAGTACTATCAGCTGCAGCATCAACTTCATAGTATTGATTATTAGCATCAGAGCATTATTATGATTAGTAGTAGTAATATCAGGGAATTCATATTATTATTAGTATTATTATCAACAGTATTAGTATTAGTAGCATTGACAGTATCACCATCAACTGGAGCGTCAGCATCATAGTATTGATTATTAGCATCAGAACATTATTATTATTATTATTATTAGCATTAGGGAATTAGTATTATTATGAGCAGTATTATTATCAACAGTATTAATAGTATTAGTAATATTGACAGTATTACCGTCAGCTGTGGTGTCAGCATCATAGTATTGATTATTAGCATCAGATAATAATAATAATAATAATAAGCGTCAGTGAATTATTATTATTAGCACTATGATTAGCAGCAGTATTAATATTATCAGTAACATTGATAGTACCCACATCAACTGCAGTATCAGCATCATTGTATTTATTATTAGCATCAGAACATTATTATTATTATTATTATTATTATTATTATTAGAACCAGCGAATTAGTATAATTATTAGCATTATTATCAACAGTATCAATATTATTAATAATATTGACAGTATCACCATCGGCTGCAGCATCAGCATCATTGTATTTATTATTAGCATCATGGCATTATTATTATTGTGTTGCTGTGAGTTTTCAGGGCTGTATGGCCATGTTCCAGAAGCATTCTCTCCTGATGTTTTGCCCTGATCTATGGCAGGCATCCTGTGGGCAAAATGTTAGGAGAGAATGCTTCTGGAACATGGCCATACAGCTCAGAAAACTCACAGCAACCCAATGATTCTGGCCATGAAAGCCTTCAACAACAACAACAACAACTTATTATTATTATTATTAGCGTTAGCATTAGCATTAGGAAATTATATTATTAGCATTAGCATTAGGAAATTATATTATTATTATTATTATTATTATTATTATTAGCATTAGCATTAGCATTAGGAAATTATATTATTATTATTTATTAACAACAGTATCAATATTATTACTAACATTGAGAGTATTGCCATTAGTTGTAGTGTCAGCATCATAGTTTTTATTAGCATCACAGCATTATTATTGTTATCACATTACAATTATTATATTGACAGTTATTTTGTCAACAGTAGCACCATACTATCATCACAACATTCTGATTGTTGTTGTTCACAGTATTACATTTACTATAATACTGTTGTTGTTATATGTGTTGTTATATTTCTTTACATCCCTCTTTCTACCCAAAATTGGGAGTGTAAAGCAGCTCACAAAGCAAGGTAAATATTAAATTAGAATTGAATTGTTTACATATGGAGACAATTTGTATCTGAGCAAAAGGCTAAAGTGCAATTTAAAAGGAGGCTCATAAGAGTAGCTCAGCCATTCTCCAAACGCACTGGGCTTCCAATCCAGGATTATTATTATTGTTGTTATTATTATTATTTTGCTATTTTTCTGTGCCTTTAAGAGCCACATTGCAAACACTGGATGACTTTGCAAAGAGAGAACTTCTCCTGCGGGGAGGAGTAGGAGGAGGAGGGGAAGCGTAGAGAGAAAAGCCACAACAACAAAGAAACCGAAAAACAAAAACCACAACCTTGAAAATATTGCATGTGTGTGGAAGGAGGGCAGATCTTTGCACACTAGGCGATGATCCTGACCTGGCTGGAGACCTGGATCTTGTAGTTTCACAACACATTTCAGCATATAGCGAGCATTGCACCACGACTTGAGTTCAGGGTTCAAACCCCATGGAAACCCCTTGGATGACCTTGGGCAGGTCACACTCTCTCAGCCTCAGAGGAAGGCAAATCTCTTCCAGAGAAATGCTACCGAGAAAAACCCTGTTCGAGGATCACCTATCAGTTCAACCCAAGCTGGAAACGACTTGAAGGCAAGCAATTACAAAATGTGCAGGATGCTGGGAGTTTTAGCTTTTCAGTCATAGAATCATAGAATCCTAGAGTTGGAAGAGACCTCATGGGCCATCCAGTCCAACCCCCTGCCAAGAAGCAGGAATATTGCATTCAAAGCATCCCTGACAGATGGCCATCCAGCCTCTGTTTAAAAGCCTTCCAAAGAAGGAGCCTCCACCACACTCCGGGGCAGAGAGTTCCACTGCTGAATGGCTCTCACAGTCAGGAAGTTCTTCCTCATGTTCAGATGGAATCTCCTTTCTCGTAGTTTGAAGCCATTGTTTCGCGTCCTAGTCTCCAAGGAAGCAGAAAACAAGCTTGCTCCCTCCTCCCTGTGGCTTCCTCTCACATATTTATACATGGCTATCATATCCCCTCTCAGCCTTCTCTTCTTCAGGCTAAACATGCCCAGCTCCTTAAGCTGCTCCTCATAGGGCTTGTTCTCCAGACTTTTTATCATTTTAGTCGCTCTCCTCTGGACACATTCCAGCTTGTCAATATCTCTCTTGAATTGTGGTGCCCAGAATTGGACACAATATTCCAGATGTGGTCTAACCAAAACAGAATAGAGGGGTAGCATTACTTCCCTAGATCTAGATCAGTGGTTCTCAACCTGGGGTCCCCCCTGACTTCCCTAGATCTAGACACTATGCTCCTATTGATGCAGACCAAAATCCCATTGGCTTTTTTTGCCAGTCCTGGGATTCGTCATCTTCTAACATACTCCGGATCACAGGATGTGTTGTTTTGCAACCCTGGGATTTGTTGTTTCCAAACATCCTCAAAATCCTGCAGTTTGTCGCTTTGTAACTCTGGGACGTGTCCTTTAATAACATAGTATCCAGGTATTTGTCATTGTAATCTTGGGATTTGTCACGTCACAACATACTCAGGATCCTGGGAGCTGTCGTTTTGCGATCTTGGGATTTGTTGTTGCATGCCATACTCAAGGTCCTAGGGTTTGTAGGTATTCGA